ATATGCTTTCAAAAATAGATACATAATTTTTATAAATCTATATTTTATGTATTTTATGTATACCTAATATTCTTGCTTTCCTTCCATGATGTAAATAATTAGCTCCTGGCCGTGGCGGTGTGGTGCCTCAGTCTCCCTGCCCAGGCTGGAGCTGCACGGGGTGGAGAGAGAGAAAGAGAGTGCACACACCGAAGCACGGCTGATTGGCGGGGGTTTGTGAAGCTGGCTTTCCCCTGTGATCTTTGCAAACCCCCGCCAATCAGCTGTGCTTCGGGTTGCCCAGGCTGGAGCTGCGAGGGGAGAGAGAGCCAGCGCCGAAGCACCGCTGATCAGCGCGGCCTTTGGGATGATCACGGGAAAGCGCTCCCCCGGGATCATCCCAAAGGCCCCATTTTTGCACAGCTGATCGGCGGTTCCAAAATGGCCGCCCGCTGTGTTGCCTTGCTTACCAGGCACCGAAAATGCCGGCCGGATGGAGGATTTTTGCTTAAAGGGAGGGGAGAGAGAGCCAGCGCCGAAGCACCGCTGATCAGCGCGGCCTTTGGGATGATCACGGGAAAGCGCTCCCCCGGGATCATCCCAAAGGCCCCATTTTTGCACAGCTGATCGGCGGTTCCAAAATGGCCGCCCGCTGTGTTGCCTTGCTTACCAGGCACCGAAAATGCCGGCCGGATGGAGGATTTTTGCTTAAAGGTGAGTTTTCCCCCCATAGGAATGCAGTAAACATGTTTTAATGCGTTCCTATGGGGTTTTTTGCCCCGCATAGCGAGGAATCCGGATAGCGACATTTTTTCCGGAACGGATTAACGTCACTATGCGGGGCACCACTGTATGCCATCTAAACCAATGGACTTCGCTTGCTTCTTCTTAGCAAGTTAGGACTTGTAAGCCGAGAACAAACTGTGTTTGCAGTCAGGACTAGTAAAGGATAATTGAATCATTGGGGATTTAATATCAACTGCTCCATACTTTCTATTGGTTCAAATGGGCCAATTCTAACTATGACCTATTATGCTATAAAGTAAGTTGCAGTTAGAGTAAGCCTATTTAAATCAATGAAGCTTATGGAGGATGTGACTCACCCACTTGGCATTGAATCAGTGGGCCTATTTTAGTATGAGTTACTAAACTAAGGAACAAGAATTAGTCCACTATAACTTTTGCAGAAGGTCCCATTTTTTCAGTTATGCATTTTTAAAATGAACCTTCTATGTAATGCAAACATATTTTCATTTTAAAAAATCAGTAATAGTGCATTGCCACCTATTGTAAATAAGCTATCTTCAGGGCTTGGAACATTAGATTTTAAGATAAACCCATTGCATTGCATTGATCCTTACTTCTCAGCAGCTAGATGACTGTTAACATTGTTATTCCCAGGGCATAAGTAATTTGTGTGTGGTTAATGTGCATTGTCCTTACCTTCAGGCCAGAAACATTAGAAAAATACTCAAATCGCTAACTACACAGCTCTAACTCACTGAACTATTAAGCAGATACACACATACAAAAATAAAAAAGGCAAAACCAAAGAATACTTCTTTTGGCACTTAGATTTGGTAAGAGCATGGCATAAAAAGTGTAAAAAATCACATCAGTGCCTTAAAATGCCCTTAAGAATTAAATAGTTCTTGCAAATTTTGTCTAAAAAGTAACTTCTAGTTCTATTACTGACTACTGCAAACTAGCTGCATGTAATTATGTTACATGTAACTTATTATTTCCAAGTGCTGATCAGTTTACTCATGTAATGTTATCCTGATTCAAATATTTTGGCTAGAATCCTGTTGCATTATTGGGGTCACAGAACACTGTGGCTGAAATCGTGTTGCACAGTTATGCAAATGACATAACTTTTAGATGCTAATTATCATGAGTTAAGAAGTCTCCATAGGCATTATCTGTAGCACACCAGGTTGTACAACAGTTAATGCCTACAGAGATGTCTTAAATTATAGCAGTTCACTTCCATAATTACACCATTTGTGTAACTGCAACAGGATATCAGCCTATATGTTGTCTCTGCTGAAACAGACTGACCCAGCTGCCTCTTTGGGAATTGTTAACTTCATGGAAAATGTTTCTTATTGTCACCAGCTCATCCAAATTATGACTTCTTTTTCTTTTACATGCAGTGCAACTTTTACATATGCAAGGAGTATTCGAAGAAAATATTTGACTCTTAACATCTAGCAGTAAACCCTGGGGAGCCCAAAGGCAGCTTGCATAGAAGTTCTGGTCTACTTCCTTGGTTTATCACATGGGGAAAACAAAATAGATTTCCTGCTGAAGAATGTGAAATATATACATTATTCCTTTGTGGAAATATTTGTGGGCAATGAAGTAACTTGAAGCTGCTGGAATTTTTGGAATTTCTGCTGAACGCTTTTGCAAGTTCCAGACTGCTAGCACTACTGCTTCTATTGCTTTTCTCCATCATCTGGAGAACAGTTTCTTATATGTGTCTGAAAGAAGGCATCATTTCTTGTAGCAGACAGCTAAAGAAGTCATATTAGTTACACAGCGATTTGCTAGTGTCTTGTTTGGAGGGTGGGGGTTGTCACTGCTCTTGTTTTAACCATGGTTATCCTCAATAGAAAGGGGTGAACATAGTAGGTTGACTTTGTTCCTACATTGACCAAGCAATGGAAGTTTTTATCTTCTTCCCTATAACCTTTGAAAGCACTATTTTACGTTAATTTTTATCAAGGTAATTGGTTATCTTAATTTACCAGGAATCCGATCAGTAATTTAAATAATGTGTCATGTCTTGATGATTTTTGTGGATTGCTTCCATTTCTGTGTTCAAGACCCAAGGAAGGAAGTCCTAAAGGAAAACATAAAAACAAAGAACAAACTTTTATGTCCATGGTCTTGTTTTTGTATATGATCTTGTTTGGCACAAATTTTTATTTAGCATTTCATTTTTGGTGGATTTAGTTTGGTCATTTATTAGATGCATATATACAGGGCTTGAAAAATTCACTCGTCCACTCATCTGTGACGGGTGAAAAATGCTACTCAACAAGTCCCAGCTCCCTGCCTGCCTCCTTCCCCTCTGCCTGTCTCTCTCTCTCTAATCCTGCAGTCCTGCCCTCCCCCCTCCCATTGCAAAAGGAAAACTGCCCTCTCCTTGAGAGTTCGAGTGGTACATAGAGATATAGCTCTGCAGGAGAATGTAGAGTAGCCCCATGCTGGAGAATATGGAGATTCCCTCCTCCCAATTTCAACCAAAGGAGGACACATCCTGGGATGGGATGGAACTGTGGCTCCTTAAGAGGCCGGGTGCTTTTGCTTTCAGTTTTATTTTTGGTGGAGACATTCAAAAGAAAGGCATTCAAAATACAAACTTCATGACTGCACAGGCATGCAGATAATAAAGCAATCCAAATCTGAGGGTATGAATCATTGATTCCCAGTCCCAATAAATTGCAAGACTATAATTTGGTCATGCTGACTGGTGAAATTTTTGACTGACTGGTGAGACATTCTAAAAATAAATAAATAAATAAATAAATACTTTGATTTCTTATACTTTGTATGTTTTTTGTCTTAATCATATTTATTTTATTATGACTTTTTTGTTTCAAATATGTTTCTGATTTAAACAACTTTTCTATTTGCTTTTGTATTTCCATCTTCTGTAGAACAGCTCCTTAACATGTAATCCTGTAATCTTGTAAATGAGGAAAACAACAAGCTTCTTTTCAGTTGTTTTGACATCTTAGAGGGTCAAGCTCTGCTTGTTTGTGTTATAAACCATGTTTTGACATGTACTTTTGCTTACTTGTTTCTGATAAACGGATTGTTAAGAAAATTGAAACTGTTAGAGGTGAACTGAGGTGTGTTCTGATGGAGCCACTGACCTACCAGAATTACTACATCAAGTGTTCTTAATTCAAACAGAAAATTAAAGTATGTCAGTGTAATGCATAAAGGAGTATGCACACACAAGCATGCTACATATGTGCATAAACATAGATGAAAACATGGCCACAGGCTCAGAGCAAACAGCTGCCTCTTGATTCTTCAGAGTTACGACTCAGGCAAATTTCAAACTTCTCTTTTCAGCATAGGTATGTACTTTCTTCTTTTCACAGAAATCTGGTCAAGAAGTACTGTCCTAAACGTTCATCCAAAGATGAAGAACCCAGGTAAAAGGAGTGTGTGTGTCTGTTTAATTATTGCTGTTCTGTTCAAAATATTTTAATAACCTACCAAACCTAAACCTTACTATATCTATAGGTGCTTGCATTAGATTTTTGGGATTAATATCAAGCCCCCCTCCAATAGGTTCCTATGGATTCTTTCCCTTGGTGGTATTCTGCTAGCACAGTATTGGTGCTGCTTTTGGGGATCCCATAGCTGTTAGCTCCAGTACTTTGATTCTGCTCTTGCTAGCCATTTTGTTAGCTGTTGTGCAGCTTGTTAAAGTGTTCTTGGATATAGGGTGTTGCTTTTTTTTTGTGCAACTTTTTTCACTAGCTGTTGCATAAGCGTTTTGTTGTGGATTGTAAAGAAGGGGAAGCTGTAGCCCTCAAATGATGTGGGAATCCAGCCCCCATGAGTGCTAGCCAGCAGAGTCCATAGTGAAGCATGATGGGAATGGTAGTCCAACATCTGGCAAACCACATGGTCCCTACTCCATGACTTAATTCTCACAGCAGATGAGCAGGTGAACCTGTTTCTAGGCTGTGGCACTGAACTGCAGGTGGGAAATAACATGGTTGAGTGCTTCTCTGTCCCAAAGCATTGCCTGCACATGTCTGGGATAAGGGTGGTCTAGAACTGTTTCCCCCTGACATTCCATTTTCTGTGTAGAAAGAGTGTTTCACAGGGTGTATCACCCAGTCATGCAGTCTTATTCTTGCAGTATGACATGGGTAAAGCAGAGAAACAGTCCTTCTTTGCTAATTGTGACCGCCAGGCATGCATTCATTATTTTTTTTTCTAATGCAAACATTATATTTGCTCTTGCTGTTCATATCCTAGACAGCAGCCTTGTTCTGTTACTTTCTTTGAGTCTGATGCCATTCTAAAATATAGAAACTGTTGGTAGCGACAATGATACCTGCTTAAAAAGGAGGTTGAGTACTCGGGGCATGATTCTTCTGTGAAACAGTCTATGAAATAGTGCAGTAGAGGAGTTGTGTATACTTCTATGTTCCTGCCAGTCTTGGTTCACTGGGTGCTGAAGACTTCATTGGGAGTGACCTTGTGGTGTTCAAGGGAGCACTATCTGGACTAACACCCTGTCTGTCCCATGCTTCCTTTAGTCACCGATGTTTCAGCACAGTATAAAGAAAAATTAGCAAAAACAACTTTCCCCCTTCACTGGAAATACCATTGTCTCAACACATAGGCTTGGTCTGCTTGGCTACCTTTAAGACAGAAGCAGTGAAACTGAGTGTATTCCGCAGGGAGCAGCTGCTCTTTTTTTTAAATGTCCTGGTCAGAAGCAGTCTATGTCTGATTTTGAAAAGGCACAGTAAGAACTTCAAAGCAAAGTCCATCATTAAAGGAAGATGATAATCGCTGTTGCAGTAGAACTGGTTGGTCACATGTTCCATCCCAAAATCCAGACATTGTTGGTGTTTAAGTTTCTAATGCAAACACTTTCTTCTGGAAGATAATTGCTGAACTCCCCCATCTTACATTTAATATCTTTTAAACAAGCCTGGCTGACAAGACTTCCCAGATGCTGATGTGGAGTTCAAGACCTGAGAACTTAAAAGAGATGGCAAACATTCCACAGGTTTATAAGAGGGGGTCTAGTTTTTTTTTTAAAAAAATACAGTGACATGTTTGTTTGTTTCTCCCCTTCTATACACATTTTCCCCTTATTTTCCCCCTTCCTCCTCCTTCCCCTCCTACTCCCCCCCCTTTTTTAGTGCCAGCAATAGTGTGGCACCTTTCCTTCCAACCCAAGAGGTGAGCAGGCAAACAGGCAGCTGTCTTCAGAGCTGGTAGCAAACTTGTGCAGTAGATCATCCATCGGGGTGCATATGAGTGGTATGATTGGCATGTTCCACCCTCAAGAATCAAGCAAATCATCTCTGCAACAAGTTCAGCTTCCCAAGCCTAGGAACTTAAGTCCATTCCTAAGTTCAGTCCTTCTATTTCGCATCTTAGGAGATACCAGTAAACTGCAGGGCCTTCCAGGTAGTATTCTTTATTCTTTTCCACCTCTTGAAATCTGTTTCCATAAAAAAAAAATTGTGTGTGAAGACATGTGTATTTTGGGCGTTTCCACTGTGCATCTTTCTCTGCGGTTCATTCTCTTAAGGTGTGTACCATGTTAGATCATGAAACTTGTCTGGTTCCCTTTGTGAAAGAAAAGCTGTGTCAAAAAATGGTCAAAGTCAACGTGACAATTGTTTTTCCTTCACTTGCCAGGTTTACCTCATGTATAGCCTTTTATAATATCCTTAATGAGTTAAATGACTACGCAGGACAACGAGAAGTAGTAGCAGAAGAACTGGCACATAGGGTTTATGGAGAACTGATGAGATACTCCCACGATCTCAAAACTGAAAGGAAAATGGTAAATATTTGGTATTTTCCATTCATATATTTCCTAAGTACATATCCCAATAGAAGTCACATGATTATTATTTATTTGTCTTGTTATGGTGAAGAGCAAACATTTAAAGAGGTATTTTCTATTGGTTCAGCTTTTGTTTGGTGTGTAGAGTTGCCATTCTTTGGCAAAATAGCAGTGTCCTAAATCCTGTGCTGGCGTAATACAAATGGTGCAGTTTTATGTGGCAAATTGCTTCAAGTTACAGAGCCAGTGCAGACATTATCTGTTGCATGCCGTGTTGCGCAGCTCAGTGCACAGCATTTAATATATATGTTGACTTCATAACCTGAAGGAATTTACTACCAAGAGTTACAACATTTCAGTTACATTGACAGGAGGATTTTATATCCCAGAAGTTTACATGCTTCTAAAGCAACAAAATACATCCTATTTACATAAAGCAGTAGTTTGCAAAGCTAATGTTTGTGCAATGCAGTCTTATGCATGTTTACTTTAGAAAGCAGTCTTCTGTATTAAATTAAGCTTCTTCCATAGTAAGTGTGTGCTTAGAATTAAAGTCTTACTTACGCTATTTAAAATGTTTAGTTTCCTCATATGAAATCAGGAATGGAGATCCAAATAGTTTAAAACAATTTGTGTTTTTTTAAATTTTGCAGACATATATCTGTTATACTGACATTGAAATATACTGTTCTTTTGATTGCAATTGTAGTTTAAGGATTAAAAATAGGGCACACACCATAGTCCAGAGCAGGAGAGGCACATTGTCCGTGTAAGGAGGGGCTCCCTTTGAGCTGGTGATTCACCTTGTTTAAGCTACAGACTGCTGGTATTTTGAAGAACCGCACATTTTCTGTGGAGTTCTTGCTACTGCAAGTCCTGCAGAAAATAATTCCAAGGAACAAATTTTTTGATACATTTGGCTGGAAAGTAACGAGAAGGGCCTTGTTGATTTAAATGTTTTTGTCGACTGCCTAATAGAGATGGGCACGAACTGATGGTTTGGCAGTTCGTGCCAGTTTGTCTGACAGCTGCTCAGCTGATCCACGGTTTGACGTTTCACCCCCTCCAGGGGGCACCCATTTGGAGGCAGTGCCCTGGCTTCCTAGCCCAACTTCTCTGGGTGCTCCCTTCAAGGGGACGCCTGCCAGAGGGGATGAAGCACCAAACTACGGAACAGCTGAGCAGCCATTGGCCAAACTGGCAATCCATGCCCATCTCTACTGCCTAATATATTTCAAGTGCTTTTAGACATTTTAAATGGTGCTAAACATTACACAGAAGTTGCTGAGTTCGAAAAGCAAGCTCGACTCATTGGTGGTGGGAAATGCAGCAATGAAAACAGACAACAAATAGCAGCTGCACCAATTAGTCCCATGCACAGAGTTATAGCTATAGAAATCAGTTGATATTTTCAATTAAATGTCACTAAAATAGACTTCAGATACAGAATTTACCTATGTGATGCAGTCAACAAAATCAAGTTACGGATTGAGCAATGCCTTTATTAGATCACTAAAAAGTTGTAAAACTATAAGTGTTTGATTTTCCAAAACTTTTCATCGGGCAAAGGTGGTATAAAAGTTGGATAGAGCAAGGAGCCAAAAATTTGGGCCAGATCAGCTTCCCATGGTTCATAAACATAAGAGTGTCAACAAATCAAAATGAATTTTTAAATTCCACATAAGAAGGAGGTGACAGAGTTATCAATTAACATGTCCTCCTTTTGCTACAAAGTCTTAACTTCTGCACGCGCACACACACACACACTGTCTGCCAATTGCTTTAGAAAAATGTGAAACAGAGTCTTGAGTCTCCACCTCAGCCAAACAGGAATATATGTTTTGTGCTACGTCAAAAAAAGAATTTACAGGCATATTGGTAGTCTGATACAAAATGTTATTTTCCTGTTTAGTTGATGTAAAAGCTGAAATAATTGCTTCACATTTTTCTGCTCCAAGCCTACAAAACAGCCCCAGATAAAAAGCAGATCTATGGCAGGACAGGACAGGCTTTTGTTTGTTAAGAGGGGAAAACATGCAAAAATTTGTCACTTCTATCATATCTGAAATCTAAACTCCAATTTGCTGTGTTTGCATCTGGCTTTGTGAGCCATGGGCAACACATCTGGAAACATGTTTGAATTATTTGATACTACTAAATTTTACAACCTCTTTGCCAGCTGAAGAATTCTAGAGAACTAGAAAGTTCACCTTATTTGTAATTTTACTATATTTTAGTGATAATAGTAAAGGTATTTATCAACACAAAACTTTTGCTTCTAGAATATGTTGTAATATTTCTTCAGGTTTATTTTCCTGTAGGTTTTGTGGATAGCAGTTTCCTCCACTGTATTTTAGTGGACTGCAGGGCTATGGAAAGAACAGTAGTTTCCCCCTTTTTCAGAAGAAGTGGTGTTTGTGACATGACTTCTGAATATGGATTAGTAATGCTGTGTTTTTTTTTTTAAATCCATCTTAATCATTATGGTACATCCTTAGATTATTTTCTATCTCTTACTGCTTTACTCTCTGGGAATAAATGGTGCAGCTTTGGGAAGAACCTAGAATGATTTTTACACAGATAGTGTAAAGTGTGGCTATCTTGCCAATGTGAATGTTAGCAAATGTTAAAAATCATGGGAAAATTGAGATACTCATTGTGAAACCTTTCTTTAAAATAACTTTTTAGCACCTTCAAGAGGGGCGGAAAGCTCAGCAGTATCTTGACATGTGTTGGAAGCAGATGGATAATGTGAGTTTCCTCCCCCTCCCCTTTTTACTGTCTTATTTAGGATTATATCGTTTGGTGGACAGGAGAAAGAATTGGGGGTTGACATAGCTGTCACTGAACTGTCACATGTATTTACTGTTAAATAGACAAGATGGATTACTATGTTTCTGGAGATCATTATAGTGCTAATTTCTCAGTAAGCTGACTATTATCTATAGAAGTACAGCCTTGAAGGATTTACAGACTAGGCTTCAAATATATGAAGATTTATCGAAACTGCCTCTTAGGCCTGTGGCCATTAATATGGTTGCTGGGAGCAATGAAATATAAGGGTGCATGGTGCTATTTACATTTGTTACAATCAGTGAATGTTTTCCTGGTGACTTCTGTGACAGCTGAGTTCCATAGACACTTGGTTTTTATTTACTTCTTTTAGCCTTTCATAAAACGTACGTTTGACCTTACCTTTATTTAAAAACTGTCAACCGCAAATGCTTTAGTTCTAATTCCTAATTTATACTCTTTCTGTTTGTCCTCTACAGCCACTTCCATGCACCCTCCCCCGATTTTTCTGTTCCCCACTTCCATTGCAGTAACTTTTCCCAATTTGTTGGAATCTTCATACAGTGGTGCCTCGCTTAACGATTTTAATTGGTTCCAAAAAAACATCGCTATGGGAAAACATCGCTAAGCGAAACACGTTTTCCCATAGAGATGCATTGAAAACCGGATAATCCGTTCCAATAGGAACGGATTGCCATCCTTAAGCGAAAATCACCATAGGAAACATCGCTAAGTGATGCAATGTTTCCCCATTGGAATGCATTGAAGTGCCCGTTTGACAGCTGTCAAACGGGCACTTCAATGCATTCCAATGGGGGAGAAAAAAAAGCGCCAAAAATTAACGAAGACTCAGAACAAAGCCAAATTAAGATTGCACACGTTTTAGAAGGTGCACTAACGATTCCAAGCATTTAAAACAGTTTTTGAAGATTTTAAGACACTTTTAAATTGCAAAAACGGACATCGTTAAGCGAAACAGGGGACCCCAAATGCATTCGCTATGCGAAGCATGGTCCCGAAATCGCTAAGCGAAAATCGCCCATAGGAAACATCGTTAAACGCTGCGGAAAATTCTTTTTAAAAAACCATCGTTAAGCGAATACATCGTTAAACAAAACAATCGCTAAGCGAGGCACCACTGTATTTTAGAAGTAGAGGAATGATGAGATTGAGAGGTCTTAGTTTACCTGAAAGGTTGGGAAAGGACTTGCAATAAGCTGGTTTGCTGGGTTTGTTAGTAGTTTATCCATCTCTCCCCACAATCTGTTTGGCCAGAGGCAACAATGGAATAGAACAAGAAGAGTGTATCGTGGAATGTGAAAACTCTCAAGACCTTCTCAGTTAAAAGCAATTGTTTGATCTCTGCTCTTGGACAACTGAGCTGAAATTCTGATTTGAAGCCTACTTGGGTAAAGCATGCTATTAACTACTGTGTCATAGATCTTCTTTCAAGCATGCAAATCTATTCTAGTCAAATCAGTGGTCCCTTTCCTGATCTTTCCAGATTATCACTCTACTTGCATTCTATTTTAGTGCTATATAGATTTTAATCTCATCCAGTACTAGTGGTGGTTGTAAAGCAGAGGCAGGAACCTTTTTTAATTTGCCAGATATTTTAATGTAAACTCCCATAATTTGTTTCCATTGGCCATGCTGTGTGGGAATTAGTTGAAAACACATGGAAGGAGAGAGGTTCCCCATCTCTGATAAAATAAATTGGGAAATGATAGATTTTGTTCTTTAAGTGAGTGTGAGTGTATGTGTCAAAGAGAGAAAACTTCAGTATATACCATAATAGCAACAATACTACTTTGTGAAGGAGGAGGAGCAGTGACAAGGACTAGGAGAATGCTGCATTGCTGTTTCTGCACAGAGGAGAAATACACAAATAGCAAATAATTTAATCTTGAATTAAAAGTTCCTAAATTGGTGGAGCATGCAACGAAGAAGAGTTTGCATTGCTACTTTTTGAATTTTTTTTGTTAGTGATGAATGAGTATGTAATGACACCAGTGTTGGGGGACATGCAGGGGGGAGAAAAAGAAGAGGAATGCACAGCCACTGAGTGCATGGAACAGATTCTTTAAAACTATAGAATAGACAGCTCACAAAGTGACATAGATATCGGCAAGAAGGCGTTGTGTGTGTTGTTCTAGGTATGTCTTATGTACTGTGGCTTACGCTGATCTTGATCACATGGTGGAGGCACACCATGATGCATCTTCCTCACTGCAGCACATAACGTCACTCATAGAAATCATTCTGTTGCATATACTGTTCAAGCACCCTGTGCAGAGACCTATATATGTAACAGATTGAATCCCACTCTATCGCCTCCATCACATTTCCAAAGAGGATGAGAGGTATGAACTGCATTATTACATGCATGTGTCTCCTACTGCATGTATTTTATTCTGAGTGTGGTGGACAAGAGAAGCTTCTAGCACTTTAGCTGGATCACTGCTCTGGTGAGTGTATAATTTAGGCTTTTGTTCCCCTCTTTCTATGCACTTGAGGTACCGTATTTGCCGGTGTATAAGATGACTTTTTTGCCGTGAAAAACATGCCTCCAAGTGGGGGGGTCATCTTATACGCCGGGTGCACTTCAGTTGGGATAGACATAGCTGCCCATAGTGGCCTTCCAATGCTTGCCTGGTGCCCATAGTAGCCTCCCGATGCCCGCCCACCTCATTCTACATACCATCCAGTATCGCGCAGTATCCAGCGCGGCCGCGGCGAGCAGCAGTAGTGAGTTGGGGTGCCGGCCTTTTCGGCGTGACCGGCCCGTTCTGCTCGGTGGGAAGCAGCAGTGCTCTGGCCCGCCCCTTGTTTACACAGAGCTCACACATGCGCACTTGTGCACTAGTGCCAGTCACAGGGAGATGCAGGTGGGCCTGGAGGCGCTGCATATCGCGCAGTATCCAGCGCGGCCGCGGCGAGCAGCAGTAGTGAGTTGGGGTGCCGGCCTTTTCGGCGTGACCGGCCCGTTCTGCTCGGTGGGAAGCAGCAGTGCTCTGGCCCGCCCCTTGTTTACACAGAGCTCACACATGCGCACTTGTGCACTAGTGCCAGTCACAGGGAGATGCAGGTGGGCCTGGAGGCGCTGCAGTTGCGCTGCGACCATACAATGGTGACAGTGAATAGCACCTTTTTTTTGGTGTGTGGAAGGTGTGCAGAAGAGGGGGTAGTCTTATAGGGCGAGTATATAACAAACTCTGTATTTTGAGAGGAAATGTTGGGGGGAGGTTGTCTTATATGCCCAGTCGTTTTATACGCCGGCAAATACGGTATTAATAAATGCTCTATTCATTCATTCATTCATTCATTCATTCATTCATTCATTCAATTTTACCCCACCCCTCTAGACAACGTCTACTTAGAGGAAATATGGTATTTCCCATGCAATAGAATATTACGGCTCAAGTACTAGAAAAGTGTAATGGCAGGTCTTATCTAGAGGTATTGATGACATAGCACAGAACTGCTATGTAAGTCTTGTCAGTATTGTGCCAAGAGTAACAGTTGTACATTAATTACTCTGTAAACTTTAAAACTTCCTGTGAATACCCAGTGTATTTTCTTTCTCTTTCCTTGCCCCTCCAGCCATCCATTGCTAACTTTTAATTCCAAAAAAGCTTGAAGTCATTTGCAGATATTGGTGGAGAGGCGTGGCTGTTGTAAAGAAGGGGAAGGAAGGGCAAAGGGGCAGCCATCCTTTGGTTCAGTGGTTCTTAACCTTTGTTACTCGGATGCTTTTGAACTGCAACTCCCAGAAACCCCAGTCAGGACAACTGGTGGTGAAGGCTTCTGGGAGTTGCAGTCCAAAACTCCTGAGTAACCCAAGGTTAAGAACCAGTGCTTTGGTTGCTCCAATGTGTTGGATGCCTTTGTCACTGCTGGAGCCTAGCTAAGCAGGCAACCCTAGGGAAGCCTCAGTGGCTAAAGATCTGAACTGTGACCAACTCCTCTTGATTTGTAACATGCTGCAATTGTGTTTTAGAGCAAAAAGAAATTTGAGAGAGAATGCAGAGAAGCAGAAAAGGCGCAGCAGTGTTATGAAAGACTGGACAATGATACCAATGCTACTAAAGCGGATGTTGAGAAAGTAAGTTATTATTAGAAAGGATAACCTTTTTTTGTTGTTCTGTTCGTACAGCAATGTCTGAACGCCGTAATTTTGTGGAGAAAACATGCTTTAAAAAACTTAATATATCACAGAAGGACTGAATTAGTAACTGCATTCAGAATTTGGTTGTGTTTCTCCAAACCATTGTTTGATGAATATTATGTCAAACTGTGGTTTGGAGAAGCAGGACCAAGTTCTGTGCTCAGATACTCCAACCACGGTTCATGCTGTTCACCTTAATAGAATGCTTCCAGACTTGGTCAGTCTTCAGTTGGCCATTATGTCCAAACTATCAGACTGGTCTGGGCAAACCTGTCAGACTACAATTGCAAGTCTTTCTTTGATCTTTATTTGCAGTTCTATTTTGGAGGTTTCCCTTGAGCACTAGTTTGGTAGTTTAGATGTTAGCAACAAATTGTGGCTTTATAATGTCCTGGATGCCTCCTGTAGCTAACCTAGATACAGTGGTGCCTCGCATAACGATTTTAATTGGTTCAAAAAAAAAAAGTTATGTGAAACATCGTTATGTGAAACACCATTTCCCATAGGAATGCATTGGAAACCGGTTAATCCGTTCCAATAGGCACGGATTGCCGTCCTTAAGCGAAAAAACCCATAGGAAACATCGTTAAATGATACAATGTTTCCTCCATTGGAATGTATTGAAGCCGACTCAATAAAGGTTAAGAACCACTGGTTTAGATGTTAGCAACAAATTGTGGCTTAATAATGTCCTGAATGCCTCCTGTAGCTAACCTAGATACTTATATATTAATCATAGGTTGCTTGGAAGATCTGGAAGTGTGTTGTCTTTTAGTTCAAGTAAATACCAGCTTGTTAACTTTTAATTTCAGGTCAAGAGACACTGGCTGAAATCGTGTTGCTTTAACTTTCACCATTGGCCTTATGCAGCATAAACTGAGCAACAGGATTTCAGGCAACGTTTCTTAAAACTGCTTTTCCTTTTCTAACATCAAGCAAATGTAATATAGGATGTGAAGATTATAACACAATGTCCAGAATGCTGTTGGGTAGTTATGGGAGCATGAGGACAATGTTTTAAATCACACCAGTGAATTTCTGCTAATTAAAAAGTTGCTGCTTGTATCCCTTGTCATGTACAAATTCACAGGACATTCTGGCCATTGCATATAAAAAAGTTGCTGCTTGTATCCCTTGTCATGCACAAATTCACAGGACATAACGTATCAATAGTATTCTGGCCATTGCATATTTTTTCATCTGAATCTCAGATCATCAGATCTGATCCCGGCTGTGAAAGCCTTCAAGAGTACAATTATGTAGAGACTTACACTGTTTACTAGTTTATGTTCACTCATGAAAAAGAAAAATATGGTGCACTTAAGAATGGGAAAGGACACCACAGGAGGATTGTGCACTGCACATCATCTAATTCTAGTGCACTAGAATTAGATTCTGTGCAGTGCACAATCCTCTCTCGAAGTCTTTCACGACTGGGATCCAATGTTTCTTGTAAGTTTTTCGGGCTGTTTGACCTCCAGAACACGGCCAAACAGCCCGAAAAGCCTAAAACAACCAACTCTACATAATTCTTGTTAATAGATCTTATTAGATCTATTCAGGCATGAATCGCCCAGCTTTATCTTATACATGAGTGCCATCCCCATCCCCTTCATCATAGTTTTTCTTCATGTGAAAAACAGCAAGCTGGTTAAAGAGAGTTCCTGTTTATGTGGGGGGGGGGATTTCTCAGATTTTTTGTTTGTTTCTGGGAAGAACCTCCCTGTGAATGTGAGCCCTTGCTCTGAAGACTTGATGATTTTCACTTGAAGAAAGCAACAGCGAAGGAGGTCAGGCTAAATGCTCTGTTGTTTACATGTTGGATGATGCAAGGTGAATAACTTCTGAATTAGTCTAATCTAGCATCTACTTTTATTTATGTTTTGCTGAGATAACATGTAATGTAAACTTTTAACTAGACTTTTTCCATGTAAGACTTAATGGCCAGAATTCTATACAAAGCACACAGTGTAAACTAAAAACCTTGTTACCAGTGTATGTGATCATGCCACTTCTCTGTGCCCCAATAATATGCCAGTTGTAGCCCTGGCTACATAACAGATGGCCAGAAAACTGGTTGTGTGTTCACTCTTGTGCACACGGTATTTCACAAGAATATTTGGGCTGGTATCTTCCAACTCTGCTCATCTCAACACTGTTGTCTTCAATCAACAATACAGTACTGCTGCTTTCAGTCTTACAGGAAAGTCATGATGATGGGACTTCTCCTTCTGATCTGGAGGGAATGTACAATCCTCCAGTACAGATGTTGGGACACAGTATGCATATTGTTTATATTGCACACTATCATGCATATTGTATGTAATAAATAAGCTATCCCTGGAAAAAATGAATTTTTTTCCCTATCTAAATACTGTCATGCTTACAGAAAGGTTTTCCAGACATATTGATTATGGTCATGAATGTTTAAAGAGAAATAGTTATGTTCAATGCTAATGAAAGCAAATGTCCTGAAAGCTTAATATGTTGATAAGTAGGATTTAATCTAAACAATTTGTTGATATTGATGTTTCTCTTTTATTAGGCAAAACAGCAGTTAAACTTGCGTACACACATGGCTGATGAAAACAAAAATGAATATGCTGCACAACTGCAAAATTTTAATGGTGAACAGCACAAGCATTTCTACATTGTCATTCCCCAAATTTACAAGGTACATCTTTCATAGATATAAAGCAAGAGTTCTATTTATGAAGGAAACTTGGTGTGAACTATGTGAACCTTAATTTTTTAACCAAGAAATTAAGATGATTTGGGGTTACTTTAAAAACAAGATATACTTCCCTCTCAAACACTACTCCCCTTTAGATTTAGTTGATTATTTTACTAGCTAAACTTAGAGTTTAAGACATGCTCAATGTCTAGGATTGCACCCATATTCAATATGTTTGCTTTGTTTCCTAGAAACAGTTGTTATATGCACAAGAAAGCATTTTTGTTAGTGTTAAATGGACCAAAAATGATTACTGCTTGATTTTAGTGGAATTGATTTTAATGGAATTTCAATTTGTATCTATTCAAGATACTCCTAACGGCTGCAACCCAGCTGGGATTTCCTGTCTGTTTTAATATATTTAAAATGTTTATACACTTCCCTTCAGCTTAAAAAAAAAACACAACAAACTCCGAGGATGGCATATATAAACATAAACCAGTATTTCCCACAGGGAGGAAAAAATGTTTCATTCAATAACAAGTAGCAAGTGTCAGTTAAAAATTATCTGTGATGTTTAAATTGGCACTTTAACATTCTGAAAGTCCTGCAGTTTATTTGGGGGCGGGGAAGTGTTTTGTGTAGTTGAGGTTCTGAGTTTCCACAAACTATGATAAAGCCCTCTTCACAGTCTCTACCTTCTAACTTCAGAGAGATTCCTCTGATGAATGTGTTATTTAGGCAGGCTCATGTGGGAAGAGGCAGCCTAGATATTTTAGATCCCTCACCCTGGGGATCTAAAGACAGGAGGGAGCTGCAGCCCCAAATATCTGTGGGGGAGTGCCAGGCTAGGGAAGTCTGCTCTGCAGCCTCTTCTTTTGCTTTCTTCTGTATGTTCGTAATGTGAGGGAGACAGGTGGGGAGGGCAAAGCTGGTGACTTTTTGGGGTTGGGAGGAGAAGAGTGAAGTGGGAAATCTCCACCCAGTGCATCACCAAGAGAATCTGATGATTTCAGTGGATGTGGATGTACCGGTACTCTAATGTTTCCAGACTGCAGAGGGTGGGGAAACTGAGCATCAACCCAAACGTTGTTTCCCATCCTGGTCTGTTTTCTCCAGAGAAGTTTTAGAAGTTTCCTGACTGACATTTTATAAATGTGGGAAACAGTTGCCACAAAACAGGACAGTGTTTCTGTGGATAGGTGCCATGCTGCCTATACCTATATAACCTTCCTTTGTGGGAACTAGCTATGTATGTTGACTTTATTCTTCGCTGTTTATCTTTTTGTACTTATTTGACAAGTGTATGGGTCTGCATTAAATGCAGTGTGTCACCAAATCAGACCCAGGATAAAAATGAAGATATGTACAGTATTTTTCTTGTACTTGGAGCAATATGCAGTTGAAACAGACATATTGTGTAGCTATTATAATTTGCTACCTTGATTAGTAACCACTTTCTGGGAAGACTCTTTGATAATGAGAGTGAAGCTCTCGATTTTGATATTCAGACGGGCCCTTGTGTGTGAGTGTATTTGAATGAAGACCTAGTAAATTTAATTATAAAATTGTTTCCTCTAGAAGAAATAGAGTCATAACTGGAGTAACCTTAACTTTTTGGGAGTCATAACTGAAGTAACCTTAACTTTTTGGGGAATTCCAAAGAGTTCCTGCTACATAATTCTGTTTTGTGATACTTTCCATTTGCCGCTTACTTAAAGCCCACATGTCTTCCTGTTTGTTTAGACCAAATTTCTTATAGCAGTGGAGAGAAACTCTGAATAGGATTCAGGTTTCCTATGTATACCATTGTAATTTTTGTTCTGCTTTTAAACAACTTTGGGTTCCTTACATCCAGGGAGGTGAAATATATATGAATGAATGAATGAATGAATGAATGAATGAATGAATGAATGAATGAATGAATGAATGATGAATGAATGAATGAATAAATAAATAAATAAATAAATAAATAAATGTGAATAATCAAACAAAACAAACTCACATAAAATAAGGCTGTGTAAAGTAATAAAATTGTCTTGTAAGGTTTCTTAATGTTTTCAAAGAAATATTTGGGGATTAAATTTTTTTAAAAGCTCAAGAAGAGATTTTATTTTTTACTGTCTATAATCCTTCACACGTTGTCTCAAGTTCAGCACAGATATGTTTTCTTAAAGTTAACATAGAAGTTATTCTTTGATGAACGACAAATTGTAGCATATGGTTTGAATCCATAGATGGCTTTAACTGGTTTTAATTTGCCTAACAATAGATTGGTTACCTGCATTTTCACAGTGAATTTCAATAGTTTATGCAACTTGTTATGTATGTGTTTGTTTTTCACATGTTTGTTGTCCAGTAAGATAGCACAGGTAAAAAACTGTAACATGAACAATGTTTTAAATAAAATTGGGAAGAAAGATGGTCCAAAGCGTGTAAATTACCTATATGCTTATGAGTGTGTGGATGCTTAGTTTTTCTTTATCACTGTAGCATCTCCAAGAAATGGATGAACGAAGAACGATCAAACTTAGTGAATGTTATAAAGGATTTGCAGATTCTGAACGCAAAGTCATTCCAATAATCTCGAAGTGTTTAGAAGGAATGATTGCCGCAGCAAAATCAGTAGATGAATGCAGGGTAAGTCAAACTTCTTTTTTTCTTTGTGTCCACCTTATCCAAAGTAAACATGTCTGCATGTCTGGTGATATTCTTAAATATCACTTCAGTTAAGCCATTAGCTCTCTTCATAATCTTTTTATAAACATCATATCTCTTCCATCAAGGACTCTCAAATAGTAATAGACTCCTTCAAGTCTGGTTTTGAACCTCCTGGAGACTTTCCGTTTGAAGATTACAGTCAGCATATTTACAGGACTGTTTCCGATGGAACAATCAGTACACCAAAGCAAGAAGGGATGAAAATAGATGCAAAGACCACTGTGGGCAAAGCTAAGGGCAAACTCTGGCTTTTTGGAAAGAAACCAAAGGTAAAAAAAATTGTGAATGTTTTCTGCACAAAAACATACTGAGGATTTGTGACTGAATGTTCTAATATGTCCTTTGAATCAAAATAATAAATGCTGTTTTGATGTTATAGATAATTTTGAAACGTCAGACAGACAGACCTGAAATCATTGGCCCAAATCCTGTTGTGCAACTCTGTGCAGTTCAAGGTTATGCCTGTAACAGTTGTGCAACAGCTGAAGCAGAAGTACGATACCTGAAACAGTTCCACTTGTGTGGTGCAGTCCCTTTTACATGTTTACACTGGCACAACTTTAACGTTATGTTGGTACAAACAGAATACTGTCCATTGAATAATATCTGGAATTGCTTGATGTCTTTTGTTGGCTGGCTTGTCCGTTTTGGAGACTGCTTTCAGATATGATTCATAGCCTCACAATATCATTAATGAACTTCACCTTAATAATCCAACAGGAAGTCCAGGTAACATGAGCTATAGAGAAAGTAGCATAGTTACCCAAGGCAGCTGTAGCTGATTTGAGCCATCACAACAAGTAATTTGGCTGGGCAACTTGTTCACTTTTGCCCAAGCAGAGGCCTGATCAGGAACTGCTTCAGTTGCTCTAATCCAATCTCGCAGCTTCAGTAGTTTGCTTCTCATTTGTTGGGACTGTACGAGCTCCTGTCAGCCAGTCATGCCTCTATCGGTTGGGGTGTGGCTGCTGTGCTGGAATCTGAGATGAAAACAAATCAGTTGAGCAACACAGGCCTGCACATTTTCTCACCTTGTACTACTTAAATTCAGCATTTGCGTAGGTGATGTTCATTGGTTCTTTTAATGAGTTGGCGGAGATTACCTTAGTGGAGGTGCTTCTTTTAGAAATGCTTTTGGCTCTTCAGGCTGAAAATCTTTAAAAAAAAAACCACACACACACCATTCTGCAGATTTAAAGGGTTACCTAAATTAAATCTGAATGTAATAAAAATCTTAATGTAGGCCCCAACAAGAAGCATGATTTTACTTTTAATTCCCCCCTCTCCTTTTTCCCCTTCATAAAAATTTAGTAAAGTATGTATAAAATGCTTCCATGTATGCTTTTGATAAAAGAATAAAATAATTAACATTTTCTCACTGTAAAGCGTATTTAAGAATGCTTTTGTTTCTGTCCTTTCAAGAAATAGATAATCAAATCAAAAGAAAAATACCAAAGTCCTTTATATAATTTTTCATGTCTCTGTCAAAAGTGTACTTTAAGTATATGCTCTAATGCTAGCTACTTTGTTGATGTTTTTGAAAATCCTATGAAGAAATATATTTTTGTTATCTAATATCTCAGATGAAAGATTCTTGAGTGCTTGCTTTCCTAAATTGCAACTCTTCTATACCTTTTTAATAGTAAAAATAACAGGGACTTCTGTTGTATCTTAAGGACTAGTACGTTTATTACAGCATAAGCTTTTTGACGATAATTTTGATGTTACTTAATGTTCTGGGGGGGAAATTAAATGTTGCAAGTTTGGATTTGGGTCTGATGATCCACAAACAGGTGGGCTGTTTCTGTTTGTAGAAGTGACACAGATCCATCAGAGGCTCTTCCTCCATAAAATGGACACTCCTGTATATAGCATAGAATAATATTTATATACCACATTTTTCCATGTATAAGATATTACTTTTTCCTAAAATCATTACACTAAAAATTGAGGGGCATCTTTCACATGGAAGTAAACTGAGATAGCTGAGGAGAGAACAAAACAGCCCATACCTTGCCTCTGTAAACAGGCTTCCTTCAGTCACGAGGCTTAGCTTGTTACAGTCAGAAGACTTAGCTTCCTCCAATCACGAGGCTTATGGAACTGAGGTCAACTGATGCTGAATAAACCAATTGGAACACACTTCGTTGGAGGTGGAGCCTCTAGGCTCAGATCCAACAGAGGCTGAATCCTCAAAGCTAAATTTTAATTTTTGAGTTAGAAAAGTATGGGGGGGTTCTTATAAATGGGGGTTTGCGTTATAAACGGAAAAATACAGTATTCACTGCACCCCCAAGAACCACTTCTTGCGCTGTTCTGAAGGTTCTCCAACTTTCCGGAACAGATTTTCTGGGGCACAGGAGCTGTAGAGTGGAGAAGAAGTTGGTAACAATACCCTGTATCTTACTGGCCGCTGGGGCCATCAGTTTGGCAGATTTGTGCTCCAATCAGCTCCAGATCCAACACGGGGTCTGTTTCTGTATCAGGGGGGGGGCAGAGTTTTCGCTCTTTCTGAATGTTTGCTTTATCTGTTCCTTTCTTTATTTCTATATCAGCCTCAGTCCCCACCCCTTACCCCTGCTAGTTTATACACATCCAGTACTTCTAATGGTGCCAAGTATACCATATTCTCCATTGAACAAGGGCTTTATTGCATGAGTGAGATAAAAACAGGGAAGCCCAGAATTTCTTCTTTCAGAAGCCTCAAAAGAGGGGTAAGTTTTGTGATGAGTTGTAGGTGCATGATGGCGCTATGCTTGTGGTGTGGCTTTGTAGTACTCTTCACCCTCCTTATAAGGTACTCCGCTATCAAGGATCATATCAGAGTCATTGGGGTTTTGTTTCCTGCTGTGTAACAGCTGCCCGAAGTTGAACAGAGTGTGTGAACATTCACAGTAGTTCGCTTTGAGAAGACAGAGTTATAAAGAGGGTGCTGAGTGCCTGTTTTCATGGTGTGCCGATTCACATCTGTGAGCCTGCTTAATGCATAATGTATTTGGGGCAAGAGAGAGCTATAGGGAAAGAGAGGACGAGTGATTATAAAGGATGGATAGATAAGTGCCCTGGTTTGTGGGTTTTTCCAACAAAGTGTATAGATTTTTCTCATGCGCTTTGAAATGTCACACCGAGAGTTACCCACAAATATTTTGATGAGAATGCATAATTACTATGGAGGAAAGCAAAGACGTATTTGGTAATAAATTTATCCTACCTTTCCTCCAAGCAGAGAGTGGCATACAGTATATGGTTTCTTACTCCCCCCCCCCTCGCCTCGAACACTTACTTATCTTCTTAATAGTCCTGTGAGATAGGATAGGCACAGAAGGAATGCCTGCCCCCATGGATCATCTCATCAGCTTTCTGGCTTAGCAGGTGTTTGAGCTACAGTTTTGCTGCTGTAAATCCAGTCTTCCTTGCTGTTAGGGCACACATAGTCTCCTAAAACGTATGAGGATGAAATATCCCGTATGAACTTAAGTACAAGAGGCATTTGCTCTACCACTCACATGTTGTGAAGTGCCTCTCATTCTCTAATATTTCTCATTTGCCAAAAAGTGGCAATCAGGAATACGCTGAATTGCAGGATTATTTCTACCTTCTGGTTCTCTCTGTTGACCTCCCGAGAACTGCCCTCTAGTGGGCATTTCTGTCGGTTCAGTTCTTTCCTGGTCTGCACATGCACAGACCCTGCCCCATTACCGGAGTATATACTCCTAAGGAAGTGTTTTTTTACTTTCTCTAGATTATTCATTTGATTCATGTCTTAAACTAGCTTCCATGAGTGTCCCCAAGCTGTTTAGCTGAACAGACTGCGGTCAGCTATATTGAAAAGACAGTTTTGGGTGAACAGAATTGTAGGAGAAGAAACTATACCTGCCTCCAGCTTACATGATACTAATATTTAGATATATCTAACATATTATTACTTCATTTAAATATATGATTTTAAATGTAGTTTGACTCTCATGATTAATATTTTTTTTTGTTTCCTCGAGGGTTTTTCTTGTTGTTAAAATGCATTTCATCATTTATGGATTACTAGTTAATGCCAGTTTTTGAGAGAGATCAAGGAAGTATGCTTATACTAATTTGCAGATGAAATTTGTTCTGGGGATAAAGTGATTGCCTAGCAACCTTCATTGTGTCATAATAAATGAATTAGCCTTACATTCTGGTGTCTCTGTAATGCATCCGCAGATAAGTGAGATTGAAATGTTGGCTGTTGATTACCAGAAGCTGAACATGTTTGCCAAACGTAATACCCATATCTATATATCTGTACATAATTTTATAAAACTAGAAACAAAATTGAATGGGAACGAACCCTATAGGTATCAGTCATTGCTGGTTTTTGGTGTTGACTAGAAAGAAGCCGATCCAGAGACGAAAGATATCATACGCAAGCCAGTTAATGATTAGAAAGAGGTTGTTTTCTTCTTGTTATTTGCAGTATCCATGCACTTTAACCTTGGATTTGGTTAGTGCAGCATGGTGCAAAGTAGAAAGCTTACCATGTTATGTATGTTTTGTATTCTGAAAAATGTTTGAAGTAGCCTCAGGAACTAAATTCTGTATTCCAAATATAGTATGAAAAATTAGAGTTAGTTGCTTCCAGGTTGTTCCAGATCCCTTGCAGCACTACCCTTCAAGAGTCCTTGGGTGGCTATCCTGGTCTTTTCTCCCTTTAAATGAAAGAGTCTCTGGGGAAACACAGAAGATGTCAAGGTCTGGGCCCTCTGTAAAATTCCATTTACGGGGCAGGGCAGGGCAGGGCCATCATAAAAGTACCCTGTATTTACCTGAATTTGTGTAACTTGTTAGACTTCCAATGTCCATGTTTTCAACTCATTTAGATTTCTTAACAAGGAGAAAGTAATTCTGATGGAGTTTCTTTCTTTGATAAGGAAGTACTAGAGGAAGTTGGAAATGGTAAAAATATTTGTGAGACTTGCTTTGCATGCAGTTTAACCAGACTGCAGTAGCATTTTACGTTTACATGGGATATCCATAGAAGTGCAGATGGAGACAGTGTGAGTTACACTGGGGGTGGTTGTTGTTTAGTCGTTATTTATACCCTCAGTACATTGAGGGTACTGAGATTACAACGCATGCACCTCCCATTTCCGACATAAACTGGTTTTGATGATAGCTGAAAAGACACAGGACACACTATTCCCTCCTTTATGCTAGAGATTGATTTTGCTGAATATATTTCAGAGATTTATTATCTTCTTAGTGGAAGATATTTTGGATGGTACTTCTTTACAAT